CTTCTCAATCTAGGGTGCAAGATTTTTTTGTTCATATTGAAAGCAATTCAAAAATGGACTTGAAATTCAAAGAAATTCAGAATTGGAAAATCTTTGTTCTAATGTGAACTACAGAATCTGTAAATTAATCAGAATCATACAGAGTGGTGTATTTTGAAGGCGCAACACAAAACTTATGGTATCTAGTTTTTTTAGATGACATATTCTCATTAACCTTTAAACAATCTTGAGATTCTAGGGGTTACTCTTTGGCCCCGCCCACCCACCCTCTCTTTTCTTAGAGGCTATGTCATTTGCCAAAATCAGTTTTATTTTAGCAGGTACTAGCCCCGCCCACCCACCCTCTCTTCTCTTAGAGGCTGTCATTTGCCAAAATCGGTCTTATCTTAGCAGGTACTGGACTCACCCCCCGCGCTGTTCTCATTCTAACTATTTTATTTTTGTTCAGTATAAGATCCATTTTTCATTCGGAGCAGAAAAATAGATCACTGAAATGTAGGCGGGGTGGGCTCTTAAAACGTACTAGCCCCGCCCACCGACCCTCTCTTTTCTTAGAGGGTATCTCATTTGCCTAAATCAATCTTATTTTAGCAGCTACTAGCCCGCCCACCCACCCTCTCTTTTCTTAGGGGGTATGTTATTTGTCAAAATCGGTTTTATCTTAGCAGGTACTAGCCCCGCCCACCCACCCTCTCTTTTCTTAGGAGTATGTTATTTGCCCAAATCAGTTTTATCTTAGCACGTACTAGCCCCGCCCTCCCACCCTCTCTTTTCTTAGTGGCTATGTCATTTGCCAAAATCAGTTTTACCTTAGCAGGTACTACAAAACTGTATTAAGCTCTATAATCACAATTTATTTTTGTGTCCGACTCGAGGTTGCTACATTTTTCTAATTTTCTTCAAATTTTTTGGCAAATTTACAAAAAAAAAAACTGTAATATGGTTATTTTTAAAATCCGTGTTACAATTTTTTATGGAGCAACAAATAAAGGTACGCGCTTTATTGTGGTACCCATTAAATCAAATTTTAATATACGGAGTGTTTATGAAAATATCTTAAACTTAACAATTTTCAAATACCGCTATTTGAGTTTGAAATAGAACACCCTGTATTTTATTACTGCGTTTTGCTTTATTTTTGTCTCATTCTTCCAATATGTCGATGTGTCTCTTCATAAAGTAGAATATCGCAGTAAATGTCAACTTTAAATATAGAAAATACTTTACAAAAAAGACAAAGAACAAATGCAATAAAATGTAACAAAATATGTTAGTAAAACTGAAACATCGACATTTGAAAATTGTAATAATTACAAATTGTTTTATAAACACTCTGTACATGAACATTTCATTTCATACACCCAAAATACTGCGATTTTCTTTGTTTTCATTGCACTAGTAAAAAATTTCAAGAAAATTGGAATAACGTGACAACGCCGCATTAGATTTTCAAAAATAAAGTGTGGCTGTAAAATTGTAACAATTAATGAGATATCGAGGAACGCTCACTTAGTGACTCACCGTGTATATTTTTACCCTAATTAACCTTTTCTTAGGTTTCATAACCATATTTTTTTTTCTTTTGAAAAACTTGAAAAAATGATTTAAAAAATCCCTGCACCTAATTTTTGAAAATATTAAACGTGAAAATCGATAAATTAATTTCTTAACTCTGATTAGTTTTAATGAACTATATTGTTTAATAAACAGAATCATAATATCTAATTAGACTAATAAGAAATAATTACTTATCAATAATTTAATAATAATTTGCTAGAATATAATCCACAACGTCATTTTTTACAATTGACAAATGTCATTTTTGACAATTTTTATCGAAATTTTTTATTTTCAATTAAACTCAGATTGGAACATTAGAATTGCGAACTAAATTCTTCACTTTTGAAGTTTAATGTTTTCAAAAATTTGGTTCAGAGATTTTTCGAACCATTTTTTCGAGTTCTTCAGAGCCTTTTTTTCATCAGCCTGTATAAACATTTGTTATTAAAATTGATTCTTAATATACAGAGTGTTAATAAAGAAACTGTAAAATATTACAATTTTCAAATATCTATATCAGTTTTTTCAAATAGAGCACCCAGTAGTTTATATAGAAACAGAGTAAGATGCAGTAATAAAATACAGGATGGTCTGTTAGATGCCATTTTTGATAATTTTAATCGAAATTTTAAATTTTCGGTTAAATTCACATTAAAAGATATCAGAATTACGAACTAAATTCTTCACTTTTGAAGTTTGATATTTTCAAAAATTTGGTTCAGAGATTTTTGAAACATTTTTTCGAGTTCTACAGAGCATTTTTAACAACGTCCGGAGCATATACGTCCTTTTTTCATCACCCAATATAAACATTGGTACGCGCTTTGTTATTAAAATTGATTCTTAATATACAGAGTGTTAATAAAGAAACTCTAAAATATTACAATTTTCAAATATCCATATCAATTTTTTCAAATAGAACACCCAGTAGTTTATATACAAACAGAGTAAGACGCATTAATAAAATACAGGATGTTCTGTTATATCCCATTTTTGCTAATTTTTATCGAAATTTTAAATTTTCAGTTAAATTCACATTAAAAGATATCAGAATTACGAACTAAATTCTTCACTTTTGAAGTTTGATGTTTTCAAAAATTTGGTTCAGAGATTATTTGAAACATTTTTTCGAGTTCTACAGAGCATTTTTAACAACGTCCGGAGCATATACGCCCTTTTTTCAACACCCTATATAAACATTGGTACGCACTTTGTTATTAAAATTGATTCTTAATATACAGAGTGTAATAAAGAAACTCTAAAATATTACATTTTTCAAATATCTATATCAGTTTTTTCAAATAGAACACCCAGTAGTTTATATAGAAACAGTAAGATGCATTAATAAAATACAGGATGCTCTGTTATATCCCATTTTTTTAAATTTTTATCGAAATTTTAAATTTTCAGTTAAATTCACATTAAAAGACATCAGAATTACGAAGTAAATTTTGTTTTGAAGTTTAATGTTTTCAAAAATTTGGTTCAGAGATTTTTTGAACCATTTTTTCGAGTTCTTCAAAGCCTTTTTAATAATGTACGAAGCATATACCTATTTTTTTCATCACCCTGTATAAACAAAGGTACACGTTTTGTTATTAAAATTTATTCTTGATATACAGAGTGTTAATAAAGAAACTCTAAAATATTACTATTTTCAAATATTTATATCAGTTTTTTCAACACAGGATGTTCTGTCAGATGCAATTTTTGATCATTTTTATCGAAATTTTAGATTTTCAGTTAAATTTACATTTAAACATATCAGAATTACGAAGAAATTTTTTTCAAATATAACACCCTGTATTTTATATAAAAACAGAATAAAATGCAGTAATGAAATACAGAATGTTCTGTTTCAGATTTTTTTTATAAACACTCTGTATAATAAAATTTGATTTAGTCTACTTCGCATCAAAGTACAAACCTTTGCTTATCCCCCCATAAAATCTTACAACATTGGTATTTAAAATCTAACAACTGCGATTTTTTTTTGTGAATGTTAAATAGTTAAAAAATTTCAAGAAAATTGGAATAACAGTTAAATAGTTAATGTGACCGTGAGTGATTCACCCTGTATATATATTTTTTATTATGACTAAAGGTACTTAAATAACCAGATTATTAGCACTTTAAAATATAAGGTATTTTAAATTATAAGCATTTTATTAGCTAAATAAAATTTTATTAAAATTGTCTCTAGGAATTTTATTTTATTTTGTATGCATAAGTTTAAATAAGCAGATTATTAATCTACTATGTTTTTTTTGAATATTTTGTATAAGTAATTCTGAAAAATAGATTACATAAGAAAAATATCTGTATATGATCAGTTTTTCTCATTTCAAGTGTTATTTACGTTGCAAAAGTTCGAAATGACGTCACCACATTTTTCGAGGGGATAAACAGATAAAATAATAAAATTTTGTAGTAAAAGCTAGTTTTTTTTTCAATTTCAATTAATTAAATTTTACTTAATTAATTTTTATCATCTACACGATATTCTTAAAACAAATTTAAAATTTCCCAATAATCTGTACAGTAATTTATGAGACAACGCGTCTAATAACATCGCCAACAGACAGAAGATGGAAACGAGAGACCTACTTTTTCACATGCTAAGAACTAGCTTACATTCGAGAAGTAAAAAAGTAGCCAATAGTAGTTAAAATACATAATTTTATTACGTTTGTTTTGATCTTTTACTCTTTCTTTGATGAAGGAACTGATAGAATATAGGAGCATCACCCTGTATTCTTTAGAATACTTTACTATAACTTCTAAATTCCAAGGAAATACCTTACTTGGAAGTTTGATATGCTTTCTAGTTAATTTAAGAAATTGATTAAAGCAAATACGTTGTCAATTACAATGGGATTTTACTCATTATGTAACTAAGAAATACTTCCATCTCAACCGGATTCAGATGGTTGTGTTAGTGGCGAAATTGGCCAGAGTTTCCTGCCAAAAATTTAAAAAATATTGTTTTTCAATTGTCCGTCACTGAGATTCTTTAAAAAAAATTGGGCGAGTGAGATCTATTCCAAAAAGTTATTAACAAAAAGAACAAAAATAATTTGATTTAAAAAGATTAAGAGGTCTGAAAACACAAAAGCGACGAAAAAAAAAATCCACTAGCGATAGTGAGCAGTGTTTAAGTTAGGTGAAATCTTTCTACAACAATTTTAGAAAGCTTTTACCTCATTACATTCTACTTTTATTTTTCAAATACACTTTTACAAAACAATATCACGATTTATTTCATTTCCCGACATCATCAACAAACACCTACTTGACTCATTCTCAACCGACTCCACTCTGTATATATACGCATCTAATTAGCAAATCAAGACGCTACCGCCAAAGCGAGGTCGGCGTTTTTCATTCAGTCAATAATCCGAAATCAGATGTTATCTCTGACTACTGAATTTCATTCCCAGCTTGTTCGTCATCCTGGATCCACTTCTTCCGGACCACCGACACCCCGACAATCCTCACAAACAGTGCCACCAATCCAGGACGACTCAAACTCTCCTTCTGCTCAATTCCTGCAACCGTTTATTCCGTTTATGGCGGGTGAGCGATCTGCACGCATTGAGCTTTCGGACATTGAACACAGCAGGAGTGTTGACTCGCAACGTGCACAAAAAATGTGAATAAATTAAACCTTCAAGTGCTGTGATAATATTTTGATTTGTTTTCGAAGCGTGGTATTTTTTCCAAATCACAGGTAAGATTATTTTTAATTTTGCCGTCATTTTTTGCTAATCAGCCTTATCAATAACACACAATTCGCGTTTAATCGATTTTTATTGTTATTATTAAAGGTATTTGTTGTGCAATATTAGAAATCAAAATCGGCTTATCGGCCGTTCCAAGAAGTGTTTTTGCATGTAAATTTTGATAGTTTTGTTGATTTGTTTTTATCGAACCGGTTCGGATTTACATTGATATTGACGAAAAGTTGTGGAAATAGGGATAACGGCGCAGTTTGGCCTTTACGATGAGTAATATAAGTATTTATTAGTTAAGTATGTATATTTAAAAATAATATTCGCTAGTCAAATTATGGGCTTGTTATCACTTAACAATGCAATAATGATAAGCAAGCAAGTTAGTAATGCTTAATTGCAGCAATTTCTTTAACGGTTTGTTGGTTTGGAACGCAACAAGGTGCGACTTTACTTAACGCGAAGTCCTTTTATTATTGTAGGTTTCTCCCGGTTTATCAGCAACAGGTGTTTTAAAAGTAATTTACTTAATTAGATTATGCGGTCAGCGGTAAACATGAATTGTTGTAAAAAATGAAAATGAAAATGTAGCCGTCCCTGGTATTGGAAACGAATCGCAGTACACTCTTTAATGTGAAATTATTTTACGCAAAAATTCGACGTGTTAATTAAAAGATCCCACACTGCTGTGTGTAATCTAATCTTAGTTTCGAAAGTTTGAAGTGTTTGAACTTATTAGTTTTTATTATTATAGTGCGATTTTATCGAAGATTTATTTAAAAAAATTAACAATTGTAAATTTCATTGAATTTATCTTGACAGAACAATTCAAGTTGCTTTGTTGGTATAATCACCTGTAACAAATAGTGAATGAATGTAAAATTCCGCGGTATTATTGTGTACAAATAGTTTTTCAAGAATGGTCAAAAAACGTTGCATTTCGCATTCTACAAAAAAATAATACAAACGAACTGTTTATAAGTGATGTGTTAAATCCGTTTTTATAATTGTCATTGTTAAATAACTGAAGCTTTATCCATGACATAAACCCATAAAAATATTAAGCACGATAAATCATAAAATGTTAATGAAATAGTTTTTATTGCAAAACCTTTTGTTATTGCAGACGCAAAACATACAAGTTTATGATGTATTAAGGTATTTTAAAAACAAGACCAACAAGTGTCTACTTGAGATTGAGAAAATTGGCATAATGTGGCAACGTATCACAATGTTAAAAATAGATCACAATCCTAAAGCTCAAGAAATAAATGGCTAGAGTACGTAAAAATGCAAAAACAGAACCTCCAGCTTAGTGGTTCATCCTGTATATTTTTATTACGGCTTAAGGTGCTTAAATAACTAGGTTATTAACACCGCTGAACTTTAAAACATAAGTCAGAATGTGAAGGTACTTTCAATTACATGCATTTGATTGGTTAAATAAAATTGAGTTAAATTTGGTTCTACGAATATTCGTTTTTATATGCATAAGTTTAAAAAGAAATGGATTACTAATCTACGGTATACAAGGAGTTTATGACAAATAAAACATAAAATAATTATCAAAAATAGACAAGGGGACAAGCCATTTTTGATTTCATTAATAAAATGTATAGTTTCACATATTTATTTTTTTGAAACATTCTGCATAAGCAATTCTGAAAAATACAGTGCATAGGGACAATTTCAAATTACTTCAAAAACAAGACCCACGGAGGGTGCCCAAGATTCTTTCAGACTTCTTCAAAAACAAAACACAAGGGGCCCGCGAAGTTGTTTCTAATTACTTCAAAAACAAGACCAGCAAGGGGTCCCTGAGATTCTTTCAAACTACTTCAGAAAGAAAACACAAAAGGGTCCTAGAGATTTTTTCAACCTACATATTTCAAAAACAAAACACAAGAGGTCCTCGGGATTCTTTCAAATTATTTCAAAAACAAGATCCACAAAGGGTCCCCGAAATACTTTCAAATGATTTTTTCAAATTACATACTTCGAAAATAACCGAATCGGTTCCCGAGATTCTTTCAAATTACTTTAAAAACAAAACACTAAAGAGTCCCCGAGATTTTTTCAAACAACATACTTCGTAAAAAAACCCAAAGGATCTCCGAGAGTCTTTCAAATTATTTCAAAACCAAGATTTATAGGGAGTTCACGAGATTCTTTCAAACTACTTGCAAAACCAGACACAATGGGTCCCCGAGATTCCTTTAAATTAGTTCAAAAACGAGACAAGGAATTCCCTAGATTCTTTCAAATTTCTGCAAAAACAAAACATAAGGGGTTCCTGAGATTCTTTCAAATTACTTTAAAAACAAGAGCCAGAAAGGGACCCTGAGATTCTTTCAAACTACTTCAAAACTTAGACACAAGAGTTCCCCGAGATTCTTTCAAATTAGGTACTTCAAAAACCAGACGCTGGCGGCCCCCGAGATTCTTTCAAACTATATACTTAAAAAAAACCAAGGGGTTCTCGAGATTGTTTCAAATTACTTCAAAAATCAAATACAAGGTGTCCCTAAGATTCTTTCTAACTATATACTTCAAGAACAAAACTCAAGAGATCCTCGAGATTCTTTCAAATAACTTCAAAAACAAGACACATGGAATCCTCGTGATTTTTTCAAATTACTTAAAAAATAATACAAGGAAACCCAGAGATTCTTTTAAACTATGTACCTCAAAAACAAAACACGAGGGGCTTGAGAAATTCCTTTAAATTACTTCCAAAACGAGACAAAGAATCCCCTAGATTCTTTCAAACTGCTGCAAAAATAAAACACAAGGGGTCTTCGAGATTCTTTCAAAGTACTTCAAAAACAAAACACAAGGGGTTCCCGAGATTCTTTCAAACTAGGTACTTGAAAAACCAGGCAAAAGGGGTTAAATTACTTCAAAAATAATACAAGGAATCCCAGAGATTCTTTTAAATGATGTACCTCAAAAACAAAACACGAGGGGCTTGAGAAATTCCTTTAAATTGCTTCAAAAACGAGACAAGGAATCCCCTAGATTCTTTCAAACTGCTGCAAAAATAAAACACAAGGGGTCCTCGAAATTCTTTCAAAGTACCTCAAAAATAAAACACAAGGGGTTCCCGCGATTTTTTCAAATTACTTCAAAAACAAGACTCACAGGGGGGGGGGCTGCGATTTTTTCAAACTACTTCACAACCTAGACACAAGAGTTCCCCGGGATACTTTCAAATTAGGTACTTCAAAAACCAGACACAAGAGGTTCCCGAGATTATTTCAAACAACATATATGTTTCAATAAAGACCAAAAAGGTTCCCCAGATTCTTTGAAATTACTTCAAAAACAAAAAACAAGGTATCCCCAAGATTCTTTCAAACTACATACTTCAAAAAAAACGAAGGGATCCCCGAGTTTCTTTCAAATTGTTTGAAAAACCAGACAAAGATTGATCCCCGAGATTCTTTCAAATTACTTCAAAAACAACACAAGGAATCCCCGAGATTCTTTCAAACTACTTCAAAAACAAAACACGAGGGGCTCCAAAAATTCCGTTAAATTACTTTAAAAACGAGACAAGGAATCCCCAAGATTCTTTCAAACTGCTGCAAAAACGGAACACAAGGGGTCCTCGAGATTCTTTCAGAGTACTTCAAAAACAAAATATTTACAAGGGGTTCCCGAGATTTTTTCAAATTACTTCAAAAACAAGGCCCTGAGATTTTTTCAAACTACTTCAAAATCTAGACACACAATTTCCCGAGATTCTTTCAAACAAGGTACTTCAAAAACCGTACACAAGAGGTTTCGGAGATTGTTTCAAACTACATATATACTTCAAAAAAGACCCAAAGGGTTCCAGAGGTTCTCTTAAATTACTTCAAAAACAAAACACAAGTAGTCCTCGCGATTCTTTCATTCTTTCAGAGTACTTCAAAAACAAAACACAAGGTATCCCCAAGATTCTTTCAAACTACTGACTTCAAAAACAAATTTTGTCAAGGGATCCTCGACATTCTTTCAAATTACTTCAAAAACAAAAAAAAAGTGGTATTCGAGATTCTTTCAAACTACTTCAAAAATAGAACACAAAGGGTTCCCCAACTTTTCTCATATTACTTCGTAAACAAAACATGGGATCCTCCAGATTCTTTTAAACTACATACTTCAAAAACAAAACCTAAGAAATCTCCGAAATTCTTTCAAACTAGGTACTTTAAAAACCAGGCAAAAGGGGTCCCCGAGATTCTTTCAAACTGCATACTTCCAAAAAACCAAGGGATCCTCGAGATTCTTTCTAATTACTTTAAAAATAACACAAGGAATCCTCGAGATTCTTTCAAACCACTTCAAAAACAACACAACGGTGGGCTTCAGAAATTCCTTTAAATTACTTTAAAAACGAGACAAGGAATCCCCTAGATGCTTTCGAACAGCTGCAAAATAAAACACAAGGGCTCCTCGAGATTCTTTCAAACAAGGTACTTCAAAAACCGTACGCAAGAGGTCTCCGAGATTGTTTCAAACTACATATATACTTCAAAAAAGACCGAAAGGGTTCTCGAGATTCTTTCAAATTACTTCAAAAACAAAACACAAGGTATCCCCAAGATTCTTTCAAACTATAGACTTCAAAAACAAATTTCATCAAGGGATTCTCAACATTCTTTCAAATTACTTCAAAAACAAAACACAAGTGATCCTCGAGATTGTTTCAAACTACTTCAAAAATATAACACAAAGGGTTCCCGAACTTCTCTCAAATTACTTCATAAACAAAACACGGGATCCTTCAGATTTTCT